CCAAATTGGGTGAACCATGTAAATTCTTGTGTCTCTCATTTCTTATTTTATCATATTCCTTATCTTTTGTCTTATCGGGTTTGTATGTTAGCGTCCTAACATAAATAACTCGATGATTTACATGTACAGTACTTAAGAACCAATTAGTAACCTTATGCAAATGCATGAATGCAAGTCTGAACTCACAGATCATTAAGACGTGGCTCAAGCCATGCCATGTAAATTGCATTAGGAAAGTTGGTGCCGTGCTCAGCACAGAACTGAGGAATTGGCATTAAACGGTTCGATGATTTACATGGACTGTACTTAAGAACCAAGTAACCTAATGCAAATGCATGAATGCAAGTGTGAACTCACAGATCCCACATCTCCCTTTCTCTACACATATATACTCAGTAAGGAAGCTCTTCAATTTATGGTTTTTCTAGTGAGTTTTAACCTGTTTTCCATTAAAAAATTAAAAAAATTTGTTTTTTATTAAAAAAATTTATTAGATCATTTTAATATATTAATATGAAAAATAATTTAAAAAAATATTATTTTAATATTTTCCGGTAGGCAAATTCCAGCGGAAGTCTCCAACAATATCAAGCATATCCACCCTCTGTCGATTACCAACTGTCGTGTCTATCCTGCAAACCTTAACAGGTCACCCCGAAGGTACAATCAGCTTTTACACTGACTTCAACAAATTATGGACTATTATATTTATAGTGACACTGTAACTACCTTTGCACTGTAATTTATTGTTAAATTATAATAAATTAAATAAATAAAACTTAAATATTTGAATGAAAATAAATGATGTATTGATTAATAAAGTGTTACTAACCTTAAAACCTGCGCTGCGACGCATTTAAGATTTGAGTAATTTGCTGAAGAGAGGGTACTTTAGATTTAAATAAAAAACTTAATGCAAAATAAAAAATACATAAAAAGAGAGGGTATTAATAAATCTTTTTGCAAAAAATAATAACAAAAAACAATTAGACACTAATGGGTTAGACCCAATTGTATACTCCTATTTTTTTTCTTTTTTTTAAAAAAATATAGCATCAATCGTCACTTGATCTATTTTTTTATCACCTTTTGTGAACATAAAATTGTGATATAAGTTTTTATACTTCAAAAAACTATTTTTCAGCTTTTTATTATTTCTTTATTAAAAAACATCTTTAAAAATTAATATAAATCTCAAATAACCAATTATCAAACTCAAAACACCATAAATCACACTTAGAAAAGAAAATCAATCAAATATAAAAACCAAAGAGACTTTGGTTTACTTTATTTGATATGTTTGTAGAAAAATATCATTTTTATTAAACTCCTTTCAAAAACAAATCTATTAATACAAAAATTATTCTTTTTTGTAATAGAAATGTGATTGATTAATCATTTTTTTTTCATTATTTTTTAATGAGTTTCTCTCTTATCTTTTAAATCAAGAAACTAAAAAATAAACAAAATAAAATATTTGAACCATAATGAGAATTTCAAAAACTTGAGATTGATCATGTTTTTTCTTTGTGTTTTACATTTTTGTCATTTTTCTTACAATCTTGCCTTTGTTTCACAATTTCAAATGAAATTAGTGCATTAAAGGATTGAATAAAAGAGAAAAAAAATTTAAAGATAAAAATTAAAAAAAAATAGTTAGGGTGAAATATAAACAATAATCATTGATATTAATTATTTTATTGTATTTAGTAATTGTCTATAATATATTTTTAAATATCAATAATAAATTTTATTTTTTGTATAGAAAAATAAAAATTGATATGAAGTATTAAATAACTTTTAACATATGTGAGTGCAATCAAATATTTTAATAATATTTCTTGAATACGTTATACCATAAATAAAGAAGTGAAGATAATATTACTAGCTAGTGTTAAAAAGAGATTAAAAAAAAAACTCATGGAGTCCTACGGTATTTCTTGCACTCTGTTGCAAGTTGGACTATAAATATTTTTAGATGTAAAAGAAAAACAATTTAAGTTGTTATGAAGTTTTTTGTATTTCAATTAAATCTCATTTATTAAATTTAAAAATTATTTAAACTTAATTAGATTAACTTATCAGGTTCAAAAATAATTTAAATAACTAATAAAAATATATTTTAATTTTTTTAAAAAAATTTCTTAAGATTATATTAAAAAAACATTAAAATAACAACAAATTATATTAACTTGAATAATTGGTCAAGATTTATGAACTTCAATTAATTTAATAATATTTATTTATTTATTTATATAATAAAAAATAATTTCTTTTAAAATCATCGTAATATTAAATGAATAAGAGCTTTTCCTTTTATTTTTAAATTCGTCATGGAGTTTTCCCTTCTTTTACACTTGATGTTTTTTTATTATTATTTTGTTTATATTTAGTAAAAATTTGACAAATTAGTTATAAAATTAACATAAAAAACTAAAATTAAATAAAAATAAAAATAAAAATAAAAATAATAATTATAAACAATTTAAGGATGTGTTTAGAATTATATTAATGATTAAGGTTAAAAGTTTTTTTTGGAAATTTATTAAAATAATTTTTTTATTTTAAAAAAAATATTTTTAATATTGGTATATTAAAATAATATAAATATATTAGAATTAATTTTAAATAAAAACAAAAATTAAAATTTTAAAAAATATAATTTATATTACGTTCATATATATATATATATACACACGCCGTCGATTCATGGTTTTGGCAGATTGCGCTTTAACACATGGTCCACCATTCTCTGTATCCCAAGCAATACCTTCTCCATTTCCCACTAATCTCAAAACAAAAACAGACGATATCCTGATTACATTCACTAATCCATAATTTTAGGTGTAATAACCTCATTGGTATTTATCAAAAAGATTTAATGATTATTATTAGAAAGCAAATGGCAATAAATGGAAATTCATTCATTTTCTTTTCTTACACCAATGATTTTTATTTTATTTTATTTTTAAAAAAACACAGTCCGATATAAATTCCCCATTTGTCTCAGTCTTTCTATCTTCTCATAGTAATTTCAATTCGAAACGTTTCAATTTCGTTATCAATCCTTGAGCATGGGAGGAGGAAGAGCGATGAGAGCTGCGGCTAAGGTGGCCGGAATTGGAGTGGTTAACTCCGGGATCCGTGGCGCCATCTCTTGTGTTCCTCCATCGGCGGAGCAGGCGGTGCGCAATGCTTCCCGTCCTGTTTCGGCGATCATATCGTCCACGCTGAGTGGAGGTGAGGTTGCGGCGACGGTGCAGAGGCCTTCGTGGGAGCTGGATGAGTGGGAGTTCGCTGGTGGCGTGGAAGAGGAGACGGTTGTGCATTCGGCTGAGCCTGTGGCTAGAGTTGTTTTCGGTGGTGCACCGCCGAGTTTGCAGGAGGCTGAGGCAGCTACTTTTGAATTGAAAGATGCTCTCCAAAAGTAATATTTTAACCTTTATTGAATCCACTTGTTTTTAATTGTGTTTTGATTTGATTAAAGATTGTGTCGTTTTTATTTTTCTTTTGTGTTTTTATATTGTTAATGATTCATGAATTGTTGTTAATCTTGAAAGTGTGGAGCTTTGACATTTTGGTTTCATTTTATAGAAACAGCTATTGATAATAAGATAAAAAATGAAAAAGAACGGAATTTTAAATTCTTGATGTCGAATCATTCTGTGTTTTCTTTGGTTGTTGAATGTATAGAGGAAATGGGGCTTCGCGTCTGTAATCCTAGTGGTTGTCGATGTAACTTCATGGAGATTTTTTGAACACTTTTTTGTTTATTATTGATACAGAAAAAAATTTAAAAAGGTATGTGATATTTGATGGTTTTGGGATGATTGAATCATTGAATTTCAGGACATGAAAGTTTCTGCATGTTTCTTGTTCCGTGAACAAGGAGATGACTTATTATTTGCATTAAAAACTTTTTTTTTTATTGCTACCTGGGATTATTTGGTGTTATCATCATTCAGGTTAGGTTTAAAAGGCTGATTGAACTTTGCATGCTATGTGTAGTTGGTTTGGCTGGAATTTGATAGATTGCCCTTGTACTGATTGGGTTGTTATCGTTCATAATCGTTGTTGATTTTGGTGTGATCAGTTCTCTTGTAAATTGCTGTTTTTTTTATTGAATTTTCTCTCATCTACTTTTGAGATGCTCACCTTCGAGACAAGGTAGTTAAATTGAAAGAACGCTCTTCTAAATAGCATCATTGAGTTTGATGTAACGTCTGAGTGCATATAGCCAAATTGCATGGTAATCAGAAATTTCCATTACACATGCTGACAAAAAGCTGTGGTTTTTCTCCTCCTTATGGGAAACTTCAGGCATATAAATATCCTCACTTGTGTGTGTCTGATGTTTAATCTCTTTCTTCCCTATCATTGCATTTTTATGGCAATTGTAGTTGCTGAAGAAGTAAATATTATGGAACTGAGGATGCATTTCTTGGACTGCTGGAATCATATCAAATATCATCTTTGGGGAACATATGTCCCTTGATTTTTACTTATTTCGTTTGTCTGAATAATTTTGCCACTGTAAGATCTCAGAGTTTCTATTTTTCTTTTTCGGAAACATGATGCTTTTATGTCTATGCAGACAATGTCAGTTCATTATTTTTCTTGATAAGTTTAGTTGTTATACCAAATTGGCTAACAGAATTATATGTGATGTTTTATTGAAGTTGTGGAACATCTTTGTTGCAAGCATTAGTTTGTTTTTTTTTTTGTTTTGGTTCCTTATTTTAATTCTGCTGGCATGATATCATATTTACCTTTTGTTTTATTATGCTTAACTGTTATTCACAGAGTATATCTGTCGTCTCCGAACTCAGGAACTGCCAGTTCAGTTGGAGGTAGTCAGTTGTCTGGCCTCCCTTTGCTAAGAAAATCTGACTCTTTGGAAACTAAAGACTGTATTCCCTGTGACCCAACTGGAGCTCCTGTGCCAAAATATGCTATGCAGGCATTTTCATTGCTTAATGAAAGTCCTAAAATTCAGGTTCTGATACATCACTCTTCCCTTGAGTATTTGTATTCTCCTTTTGCTTAGACTATGTTGCATTCATGATGAGTTAATTTGACACTGGAGTTGCTTGTAATTGAACAAATATATCTCAATTATTTTTTTCTACTACAGAATTGATTTAAGCTTCAATTATGTGTTTGTTGTGGTTTCAATATGTTTGGTATTGTTAGCTGCTGAGTGTTTTTTGAGCTTAGCTTCAATGACACTAAGCTATCGATGCATTTCGAAAACCCCTGTCATTTCATACAGCCTGGATCATGCATAGAATGTATAACTGATATGCTTCTTTGTTTTATAAATTACAAGCCCTGATATATAATACTTCAGGACTTTCAATTTTGCTGGACTCCTTAAGGCCACTTGAACATTTTGAAATGTAATTTTTTTGTTGTCCTATCATTGCATCTAACATACCGGTTTTAAAATATATTAATGTTGATTGATGAATTCAGCTTACTGGACTAATCACTGATTTTAATATTATGCACAGACTGTTGTTGCTGCAGTTGCCTCTGATCCAAATGTCTGGAACGCAGTTTGGGAGAATGAAGCCCTTCAGGATTTCCTCCAGTCCCAGAATACTACCTGTAAGTGTTCTCTTTTGTCTTTCAATCCACGTGTGCCATTCTTTTTTGATATTCCTGTTATCTATCTCTACCTATTTTATACCTGAAGCCAAGGAATCTGTTGCAGATACCCAGTCATCTGAAGCCAAGGAATTTGTCAGGGATACCTACTCTCAGGATGCAGTATCTTCTAAGAAGTTCACTGAATTATCTGATGATGAAAGTGAAGCTCAAAGCTCTCAAACTGAACTCGTGGATATTATCAATAACGTCAAGCTTACTGTGGTTGACATGGTGACCAACGTGTCTGCTTACTTCCAAAAGATTTTTAGCTTTTCATCCGCAGAGCACACTCCTGCTGCCAATGAAAGGGCTGGAGCAGCTACCATCGAAAAGACCATAGGAGCATCTCTCATGGGACTGGCAGTGATTGTTATTATGGTGGTTGTGCTGAGGCGTCCTTAAAAGTTCATTTCCTGGCAAGCCGGCCCGTACATTTGCCAAGCCTGCAGACTTAATTGTGTTTCTGGATGCTTAAATGGATGCCTAAAAAATGTTCTAGATATAGCATATTTATGTATAGTTTTGAAAGATGAACATTGAGTACTACGCATCCATGTTTGAATAATTTTCGTTTTATTTTTCCATCATGCTGCATTTCACCTGTTGAGGTTGACCTACTGGAGCAACCACTTGTTGCAATAGTGATCTCTTTTGGATGATAGATGAAGACGAAAAACAATGAAAAGTACTTATTTATAATCCTTGAATGACTACACAGTTGTATCTCATTACAATTCCAGTTCAATTCACACTTACAGTTGATTTAAACCAGAGCATGCAACAAATTCAAATAATATGCATAAAGATACAGGGGAAAAAACCCAGTGAGGTCCTGGTTCCCATCACCCAAAGCACCAGAGTCTTCGCATTAAATCAGCATACTCTAGTTTCTTCATATTCTCGGGTACAAACTCGTGATTATTCTTCAAAAAAACCAGCTCAAAGTCATACTGCCAAAGCTGAAAGCATGGGTGCGTGATAAGTCTATATAGGTTGATGCTTGAAAAGCTCCACGTGTGGCCAGCTTGTAAAACCAGAGGAATACATTGATAGCTTTGAAAAGATGTTGAAACCGCAGGCTTCATTTCCTGCACCATGATTTTTTTTTTAAAAAAAGCAATAATTTTATCCCTCTTCTGCCAAAGATTTGAAGATGTTGATAGGGACAATCCATTCAGGACAATCAACAGCATCCTGCAACAGAAACCATTCTGGAGTTTAGAATGAGAATCTTTCAACTAAAGCGTACAAATGGAACCAAATAATTAAGTAGCAGAAGAATAAGAGCTGGTAATTTCTGATGGATAGATTGAGAAGGGAATAATCAGAGGATTTCATCATTACTGGCATGTGGTAACTAATCTGGTGCTGCACCAAAAAAGCAGAAGTTCAATTGATGCAAAAATACTTCATGACATATCAAGTAGAGTTAACTAAAGAGCAAAAAAAAGATAACGCATAAATACCTCTAAATGGAAGTTGTACTCGATACCAAAAGGGCTAGAAGATTTAAATTTCTGAACCATAGGGCAATGAACTTGTCAGATTAGAGCATAGGGGTAAAGACCAAGCACCTGGAACAAAGAAAACAAAGTCACCTTCTGAGAAAACTCTTCATCAAATTGTATCCAGTAGACACTACTACCAAAGGCCGGTCCTTCAGCTGCATATTCACCCAAAAAGATTCCTCTGTCATGAATGGCAAAAGTAACGTGCCAGCACATTAATCTTAGAATTGTTAAAAAGAACATTTAACGAGAACACTTCAGATAGAGTGACTCTACAAGGTCTAAATCAAGCATCATTATTCCATGAATTCTTAAAAAAGACTTCTCATACAGACAGCATAAACAGAAATGCAAGATATCACATTAATAGAAAATTTCATGTTGTGATGAAGCTGCCTCCTGGCCTTTTATGTCCGTAGAGGCAGAAAATAGCATGTTATTTTTTGGTCAAAATTCATAAATCTGATCTTTTGAAAATATTAGAAAGGCACAAGACAAAAACCTTCTCAAGTTTTTTTATGATAACATTTGCATCCGGCATTGTTCCAGTGAAGTTGCCTCCAGGCCGAAGCAAGGTTGATACATTGGCTAATGCTCTCCGTGCACGTGCCTCAGTTGACCATGAATAATGCAAGGCAAACTGCAAATTTTGTGTCGATGCTTCAGAACTAAGTAAAACCACACAAAGACACACACACACACACACAGCGATTTGATGAATCCTATGGATATATATCCATGATTTGCATGATTAACTGAAGAATTGGCATATAACAATGGGAAAGATATTATATCCAGTCCAATGCACGGGAAAATGGAAAGTACAATATAGCAGAGATGCATGGAAAGGACAAATACTTTGGGTATTAAGTTTGAAGCATCAGCTAGTTCCTAGGTTTTTCTGGTCATATTGCGCCCATTTAGAGAGACAGAAACGTCAAAAGGAACACAAAAATTGATGATATTAACATTTTCCAATTTATAGAAAAAAGTGTTGAAAGGACATTTGTATTCATATATCACACAACAATATCCATTTCCATTATCAAGCAAAGTTATTAAGAGTCCAGTGAAATAGCTCAAAAAGTCCCCAGGTCATCATAGTTGATTGATGAGTAGATATAGATGCAGAAAAAAGTTGAAAGCTTGACAGCTGCTTCACCAAATGCTTGATAGGCCTATTTTTGTTCGTGTTGTGTTTTAAAAAAAAATTAAATTTTTTTATTTTTTTATTAATTTTAAATTAATATATTTTTAATATTTTTAAATCATTTTAATATATTTATGTTAAAAATAATTTTTTAAAAATAAAAAAATCATTGCCATATATTTTAATACAAAAAATTATTTGAAAAACAATTACAACCACACTAAAATGAGTAGAAATGGTAATGCATCTACGTATGACCCATCATAAATTGAGGCTGCACTTAAAGCTTAACAAAAGTGAAAAAGTTGAGCTTTGCAAACTCAATTTTGCAAACAATAGCTCACCTTAGTTTTTCCAGCACAAAGAGTAATGTAGAAAGATGAAACATAAATAAAAAAAGAAAAGGTTTAACAGAGCTTAACGTAGAAGAAAATGGGGCACCAATGCCTACCTTGTCACTATTATAAGAATATCTTTGAGTTACTGTTGACAACAACAGCACCATCATTAAAGGAGAGAAAACTGTGGAGGGTAGCTTGCTCTTCCCTTTCTCCCTCTCCTTCTCCCTCTCCTTCTTTAACTACATTTGCTCGTCTTCACTGTTCTGTAAAGTGAACAGTGGAGAACATCACCGCTGTTTATAGGCTAAACTCGGTTCAGTTTAAATCTAAATGCATTAGATCAAGTCTGACCTAATAAGATAAAAAAATCCAATTTTTTTTTAGATATTATGTTTTATTTAAAAAAATTAGATATTATTTATATATCCATTTTCATTATCAAATTTCAATAATATCCATTTCCATTATCAAGCAAAGTTATTAAGAGTCAAGTGAAATAGCTCAAAAAGTCCCTAGGTCAGCATAGTTGATTGATGAGTAAAGATAAATGCTATGAAAATTTGAATGCTTGACAGCTGCTTCAGTAAATGCTGGTTTTAGCATTACATTGAGTGATTGTTTGGTAATGCAATTACTTGTGAAGTTGAGATTGAGCCACAAAAATATATAGTTGATTAAGTCACAACATTGTTTTGTTTTGGTGGGTTCTATCATAAATTAAAGTTTAACAAAAGCAAAAAAGTTGGCTTTATAAAGAGCGACTCATCTTAGTTTCTCTAGAACAGAGAGTAACATAGAAAGATGAAATAGAAACGAAAAAAAAAGAAGGTATAACAAAGGTCAACAGAGAAAGAAAAAGGGGCACCACCACCTATCTTTATCATCGCCGCCACAAGAACCATCTTAGTCATTGTCGACAATAATAACACCACCATCAGAAGGGAGAAAACTATGCAAGGTAGCTTACTCGTTCCCTTCTCCTTCACCTTCTCTTTCTCCCTTCTTTAGCTGCATTTCCTTATCTCCATTATTTACATTGCATGTGAACAGTGGAGAGGTGGAAAGTGAATCCATTGTTCACGTGAACAGTGGAGAGGTAGTGAATAGATTAATTCATTCTCCATTAATCACGTAAATAGTGGAAAGTGTCTCTACTGTTTATGGGTAGGACCGAGTCCAACCTAGTAAAATAAAAAAATCCAACAAAATTTATTAGATATTGTGTTTTATTTGAAAAACTAGTATTTAACATTATTTAATGGCACCACATAATTACATTAGAAGAAGATTGCATGATGACATGACATTTATAGAATTTGATCGCAATTTCAATTTTATTCCTAATGATATTTTACCTGATATTGTTGCATGCTCAGGAAGCCATGAAAACTGTAGTCCTTATTGCATCGATTTGGTATATAATAGAATTGCAGATAGTTTAATGAAACAATAAAAAATGCTTTATATAAAATATTGTTTATTTTATGATATAATAGTAGTAGTTAAATTTATAATATTTCAATTAAAAACCATCAATATTAATATATATCTTTTTTAGTTATCTTATAATCTCAATTTGAAAAGCTTTATTAATCAAACATTTTAAACTACTTTTTATCCAATTTCAATTTCAACTATAATTTTAACTAAACATATATTTTATCAAACTAACCTCAACTAAAAATATTTTATATAAATTTTTTTTTAAACCTATAATAATAAAAGCTACTACAATTCCAAACACATTTAAAACATTGTATCTCACTAATTTTTAAAAATTGTAATAGTAATTATAGAAGCTATGGAATTATTATTATTATTATTATTATTATTATTATTATTATGTGAAGGAGAAGAATAATAAGAATAGTGATGATAATAATAGTATTAACAACCATAATAATAATAATAGTGATTATGATAATGATAATTATTGTTAATATAGTAATATTACTACTAGTATTTCTACTACTACTAATAATAATAGTAATAAAAATATTGATTTTAATGTAGAAATGATAATAATGATAATGTTAATAATAGTAATATTAGTTATAATATTAATAGCAATAGTGATTTTAATTTTTATTTTTTTAATTGTTATTTTAAAAAAAAAATTGTAAGATTGGATTTTTTTTTCTTAATTTTTTTATATTTAATTTATTAAAAATTAAACTTCATAATTTTTCTAGATTGTGTGCTTCAAATTTAATGAATAGAGTCAATAGTTTAAAAAATTAATATACTTTTTTAAAGGTTTTATAATTATTTTTATTTTTTTATCTGATTATTCCTGTTATATAATTTCAACTGCGGGTTTGATAGAGTGTTACATATTAGTTTAGCTCTAATTAGCGTTATTATATATTGATACCGGTTTTTAATATTCTTTTTTTATTCTATATATATATATAGAAAGTGATCTTGTCTCGTGGAAAAACGCAGGCACTGAAGCTAGTCTCAACTAAATCTATTCTTAAAAATCCCAATTCATCCTCTCTATTGTTGCTTGTTGTCGGAAAAAAGGGAAAGAAAGCCTCATCACTCCATTATTGCTTCATGTCGAGGTGATGGTGATAACATTAAGATGCATGGTGAGAGGATCTTGAAAAGCTAAATTAATAAAATAATATTTTAAATAATATAAATATAGTTTTTTTACTGTGCATAATTCAATGGAAAAAAACTATTTAAAAAATAATT